GAATTATGTATCAGATAATTATGATACATCGTTATAATAATGAACACATTATTACGCTTCCATCATGCTTAGATATTTACTAGTTTTATTAAATAGAGATACAAGTTTTCATTTTCCTTATATACTCAGCTATTTACTCGTACATAGTTTCCACAAAATAGATTACATACTGCGTTCCATCGTGAGATAATGTTGAAGTAGGTAATTATTGTTTAATACATTGGCATATTGTAATACGATGTATTATGAATTCATTTAACTCTTTCGAATAAGAAATATAAGATTAAGAACTCCTTTACAAGCCGGGATATGTAAATGTTGAAGTGTGGGAGAGCCATGCTTCGGCACGAATGGGCCGGCTCGACCGCAGTGATACCACGGCCTCACAAAAAACAGACGTGAAACAACGATTGCGTTGTGTTCCGTCGTGTGAGCGAGGTTACCGGAGGCTCAACTACCCCCCTCCCTAATCTCCACAATCCTAGAACCCCCAAGAATCATCAAATTCTTAATCCCCAAAAGGCCGGTAATGCACTTGTAACGCCTCTGGTGTTTCGGGTGTCCATGGGCGACGCCGATTGCTTACCAACAGGCAATCCGTCTGCTCGTTTACCGGCTTATCCAATAAAAAAGAGAAGATGTGGCACTGGGGTAGATTTTAGTCTGTAAATCTGTCACCTGTCTATCCCCATCATAATCCTTAGGTGAATGACCTCCACGAAAAAGAGCAAACTTTAACATGATAACATAATAACATGGTGTCCAATTTTGGTTTTGAGTTACGAAATGGATCTTTTGATCTAGTATTAATAATTATTTTGGTTATATTTAATTAAAAATTGTTCTCAAGGAGCTTGTGCAATCCTACACTCACTTCAACGAGTTTTGCCAGATCCATGATCTGACCATCGGAGAAACTTTATTTAATCATGGCAATCACCACAAGTACACGTGGAAGTCACCCGATGGCGTCACGAGGAACCAAATTGACCATCTTGCCATTAGCTCCAAATGGTGTTCCTCATTACTTGATGTCCGCAACCGTAGGGGCGCCGATATTGATAGCGATCACCATCTCATAGTTGCTGAAGTTCGACTCAAGGTTGCTGTGGCCCGTACGGCTGGAGGACATCATAAATCTATGATGGAGCTGTGGGGCGACATTGGGTAGGACCACTTGTAAATCATACCAATACAAATATTAGGATTTGATAACAGAGATATCGTTATCAGTATTATGTTTAATAAACTTTTATTGGTTATGAAAATATTGGCAATGAGTATAAATTGTGTGAATAATGCATTTATTTCTGTTATAAAAACTACTAGGAGACTAAATACAGAGACAGGCAGCGGTCTCTGATAAACCTGAACCTTTGTAACTGCGACCTCTAGCCTGTCTGCCTAGCGAGGCGATTATGACAAACCCTATTATGACGAGAAGGTTAAGCACCAGTAGACTATCAGTTATATTATACAGTAATGATGTTATCGTAATTTCGATTTCAACTGGAATAGGTTGTTTTGGTTTCAATGTGTTGGCATTTAGCATGAACCTTCAATCGCTTCATTGCTAATGACTGTCATTATTTAATGCATTTCATACTAACTAAGGGCCGTTTTTTCAATCATCAGTTAATTCTTAACTGTAGAATAAACTTGACAATTGACAGTTCTTAGTTCGGAATATTTGTTAAATATTCAAAGTTATTCCTCAGTTAAAATCTGGCGTTAGAAAAATCAGCTCTTACCTAATATAATTTTTATAATAACTATCGTGAGACATACGTGCGCGGTCACTGACGACGCGACGTCGCCGCGACCGCGCACGTTGCTCATGAGGAAGAACCCCTCTGTGGTTCGAAACTACTACTAGTTTCGAACCACAGAGGGGTGAATACTCACGTGAATATACTGAGAAAAGCTGTAGAGCTTTTCTCACGTGAATATACTGAGAAAAGCTGTAGAGCTTTTTTGATTCTCGTGAACCGCGTTTTTACTTGATTTAGAATTTTTGTTCTGCTATGGGATACCAAAATAAAAATAAATCTAGGTAAAATGGGTCATAACATAATAGGTGATGCCTAACGTCGGCTATTCCCTGAACAAAAGGATGAAAATAATATGTTTTAATGAGATTAGCCGGTAAACGAGCTGAAAGGTCGCCTGATGGAAAGCAATTGGCGTCGCCAATGGACACTCGAAACACTAGAAGCGTTAAAAACACGTTGCGGGATTAGGAATTTGAGGATTGTTGGGGATTCGGGGATCGCAGAAATTGGGGAGGGAGAATTTGGACTTCCTGGTAATCGGATTTTTTTCAAAAAACAATAGATATATTACCAATTTTATTATTATTTTGCATTTCTTATTACACGTGTACTGTACAGATGATATTATTATGTCATACTCTATTACTCTTATCGCAAAGTAACACTAATTAACAATGTTTATCAAACCGCGGTCAGAGGATAATTAAACATTGATTAAAATTATTAGGCACTTAAAACTTGATTTTATATTACATGGTACTAGCATATTGGCAGAGTAACAACATATCATTTTGTCCATAATGATTGCCTCGTTGGCCGAGTGGTCGCAAGTGCGACTGCCGGGCAAGGGGTCTCGGGTTCGATTCCCGGGTTGGGCAAAGTATTACTGGGTTTTTAAAAAAATTCTCAGTAGTAGCACAGAGTCTGGAATCGTGCCCGGTATATGGCAATAGACTCACCCCCTATTACATGGGACTCATAACGTAAACAGTGAAAAGTGGGTGTTACATTGTACAGTGGTATAATGTACACCTCTGCCTACCCCTTCGGGGATAAAAGGCGTGATGTTATGTTCATGTTCATGTTCATAATGAATGGCAAAGTAGTGGAATATAAGTCTGACCATCCCTACCCTTCCCGGGGTGGCGTAAGACATAACTAAGAATACAAGGGACTAAACATCTGAAGGAATCAAAGAAGGTTGCCACCTTCTCAGATTCAGGTTTATTTTATATTGGGATGAACTATGATGATGCCAAAACGACAGCATTTAAGTTAGACTTACGTTTCATCATCATCATCAACAGCCTATGAATGCCCACTGCTGAGCAAAGCCTCTTGTCACACAGAGAAGGTTAGAGCATTAATCGCCACGCTTGCTCAATGCGGGTTGGCGATTTCAAACTTATAATTAGAAATTATAAGTCCAGGTTTCCTCACGATGTTTTCCTTCACCGTTTGTCAGTGATGTCTAAATAATCTTAGAAAGTACATATAACTCCGAAAAAGTCACATTGGTACTTGCCGATGGTAGGTTTCGAACCCGCACCCTCATGCATGAGAAGTGAGACTTACGTTTATAAATACTTTATCCTCTATACTTCACGTCTATCCGAATAAATATTTCGATCATCTTGATTTATCAACTGAACTTTGTTGTTACTGTTTCGGACTCATTTCCTGCAGCTGTAGCTGTAGCCAAATGCCATTTAGCGCTTGACTACATGTAGAATAGAAAACCAAGATATATGGAATTGACGTAAATTTTGACACTTGTCAGTGTCATCCTCATACATTTAGTTTTCTACCCTCTCTGTAGACAAGCGCTAAAGTGTCGTTTGGCTAAAGGCACTGGATTGATCAAAGTAATATTATACTATTATATAAAGAGAATATAATTGGGGCCGTTGGTAGAGGGCGTTTAAACGGACTGACCAGATTGGCGATATATTAAAGAAGGGCTAAATTAAAGGTACTCTTAACCGACGAGCATGCATGAAAAGATTGATGACTGTTGATGAAGCGAAAGAGATATGTAGGAGTCGTAGCAATTGGCGTTACATAGTCTCTGCCTACCCCTATGGGAGACAGGCGTGAAGTTATAATAAGTATATTGTATGTATGAAATGAAAATATGAAAATGTAGTACATGTTAACTAAAAATAAGTAATCGCCAGCATTAATAACAATATGCTATCCATAAGGATAGTTCTAAGAATTATTTACAGATCATACCAATATTCTAAGAATTGTTACGGAAAATTCAATATACTTTTATGGGATAAGCCGGCAAACGAGCAGACGGATCATCTGATGGTAAGCAATCGGCGTCGCCCTTGGACACCTGGAACAAAGTTTAGGAATAATTCAAACCATAAACATTTTACGTAACATAACATGTGATGTGATGTTCACTGGTAGTATTTTTCGACAATACTGGAAATTTAAAAATGAGACACTGTCCGAATGACGATTTGAAGTCTAGACTCCATGACGCCATTTACCTGTGTTTAAAAAAAACATATATTTTTTATAAGAGTAAAGAATGGAGGCTTTTACTCGTTTTTCTTCATTCGAGTCTACATTTTGGAACGAGCTGACGGAGAGAATGACAGATTATTATTTATTAGTTGACGTTAAAAAAATACAAAATTATGGTTTAATAGAAATAAATGCTTTTAGACTTTTTAATACGTGTATCTCTGTTTTTCCACTGGGAAATCAAACCCTTTATTTGCAGTAACATACTAAGTAACATTTTCTATTTATATTTAGACAAAAAAAAAATTAATTTTAATGCATCTACAGTGTGTACAGGGTTAGGTTTGGTTTACCATTTTTGACAAAATATGTTCCAACTATAGGCCCTTTTGAGCACCGCTTTTACAATATACTTCTTTGTTTACCTTTTTGGCTTATCTATTATAATAAATTTATTTCAATAGCATAAAAAGATAACTAAATCAACTGTCACCCAAATCCACTTTATTTTTCGACATGACAATAGATTCATGCTTTATATATCATGACATATTTTATCAAATGATATAACTAGTAAAAGTTTAGTGTTTTGCCACTAACGATTAAGTTAATGGTAGGTTAACACACTTTGGTTTAAAAACTAGTTAAATTTATGCGCAAGGTATACTAATGAAAAATTAACCAGAAAAATTAACTTACTAGGAAAATATAGGGATCTAGTTTGATTCGTAGGTACTACTCAAGGCGTGATAAATACTATTCAGTTGAAGGTATTTAGTAGCAACTTTTCTCGTAATTGTTTACTGCAAAAATGTTTTATTGCAAAGCTGTAGATAAGTAATTCTTCACTGGGAACGTGTTATACAGGCAACAAGTCAGTCGCGCCAGTGTGTAGTAAGACCGCCCGCGAGACAGTCGCTCCCAAGTGATTAATACGAATAAATAATTCCAAATATAATTTTTTATTTTTAAAATAAAAATAAATAATCAGTGTTTGTTTTACGAGCAATCACCAAAAACGTGAGTACCAGTGTTGTTTTTTTATTTTATTTTTTGTGTTTTTTTTTTCGAATATGTTTCTTTTTTATTTTTATTATTTATGTTTTATATTTCTTTTATTATAAAGCAGTGTAGTAATTCCATAATGTGTACCATCAAATTGTAATAAATCGAACCACGCCTGTATTATTTTCAATCAAAAATGGCGGTTACCGGCCATTTTGAGACGACATTCAAATATTTCTTTGCCGGTGTTGTGTTTTCTGTAGTTTTATAAATATACAAATGCTAATAAAATTTAACGATTAAAAATAATAGTCTTAGGTAATTATTTAGGAATAAATAATACCTACTTATATTTAATTTGAGAAATCGATACGATATCCATATTCTTGCGTCTGCGTATTAAGTTTCTACCTTCAACTTTGATGAAAATGAGTTTAGCCACGTTAGTTTTTATTATAAAATAATCGATAAGTCCTTTTGTATTTATTTAAACTATTACAATTTTTTAATATGTAACTTGGGATGAATTTGATATAAATTAGTTTGGACTACCGCCTTTGTAATAGTGTTAACCCGTCTTTTGTTACCATGCTACGCTATTTAGGCTATCTGGACTTGCGGATGGCCTAGTGGGCTCCGGTTCTAAGCAAAAGCTTGAACGTGCGGATTATAGTTAGTAAGAGTCTGACACTCTCTCCAGCCTCACCCAAGTGGAATTTTAAAATAAAAGCTATTAGCTAGGCAGCCATTTTTCTTTTTCTTTTCAATCATCGTGCACCAGATCCAATTTAGAAGCGCTATAAAACACCAAAAGTGTTTATTTTTGTTTTAATATTTTTCACGCACAGTTACGTGTTTCTTTTAGCACAGTGTGCTGTTTCGCGCACTCCGATAGACAAAAATAAACTTTGTTCTTTTTGTTTGTTTTTTAGGAAAACATTTTTTATAAAGAACCACCTTACCTGTTTGTTACGTAGGTACATGCGCAAATGAACGTGATAAATTTATAGTTCATATAGTAAATACAATTGAATTTCTTGCCTACTGTTCTGAGCAATTCGTGGCGTATTATTGTACCAGATTTTTATTTTTTAAACTCAAATATAATGTGAATATTTGGAATCAATTTAAATATAACAATCATCTTAATAAAGCAATTTAATATGCTATCAATCATGTTATTCTGTATCCTGGTGATCTAAGCATAGGCCCTTTAGACAAATTTAATCTAAATGCAATAGGACACAAACCGGCGACTATCTCTGTAAACACTATGGAAATGCACCCAAGGACAGTCCCCGGTTAGCGGCTTTTAATGTACAAAAAAAACTCTTGTAGGTAATATAAAAAAAAAGAATACTAAAAGACAAGAATGGTGACTGGATCAGATGTTAAGTCTAAGCATTTTTTGAAGACCAATCTTATTAATGAAGATCCAGACACTCATTGATAAATAAGTGTAGACGAACTATTATTTATAATTATTATGTAACACAGTAATAGTACAAGAACATAAATAATTTAATTTTTACAATCAACGATAATGTTGTAATACCTTCATTTATAGTGACACTGCATCTATTTATTATGACAAACGACTTCATTACAGTAGCCTGAATAAAACCACAAAACTATTAATTAACTCGTCGAGTACCGGTTTTATAGACACAATTAAAGAACAATAGGTCGCGGTCACCGGTGACCGCTTGGTGTTTGACAGTTTAAACGATGGGATTTACTCATAGTAGTTATAACGTAATAAATGATACATAGTATAATTGATTGTCCTGTTCCATTAGGTAATTTAATATGTTTTTGGCAGGCCAATATGTTTTTGTCCTGTTCCAATAATTTAATATGTATTTAATTTTGTAATGCCTAATTATAAATTGTCATAGTGTGGATAACCTTCCTGGGTGGATAAAATAATTTAGTTCAGCGAATGTAAAGCAATTATGTCTTGAATTTGGGGAATATTGTCCAGTGTGCGGCGCCGGCGCGTTGTCATTGTTTCGAAGCACGTGTGCCTACAGCGTTTGGTCAAGGTTGTACAAAAACGAGAGCTGTAGGCGTTTAACGATGAGGTACCGAAACTGATCTAATTTAGACTTTTAAGTATAGTTTATAGTTATTCAATTGTCCTGTTTTTTTATAAAGAGAAGTCACGGGTTCCCCTAAATTGATTACCTGTGTGTTATGTTGAGTACTTATTAAAATTTTATTAGAAACCTGTCATAATAACAATTATTTTTTTAAGACATTTCTTTGATATCTAAAATACAATGAAACTATACTACAGAAGGTATAACAAATCAGCGTACTATCATCAGTTTTCTTTTCAGTTTTTTTTAATTATTTTCGTAGATGGAGTAAAATAAGAGAACTGTATTCATTTATTAGACGTCAACAATTATATTAAACTATTTAACCAGCAACTTAAACTAACGCGGAAATATTGCTGTAATTAGAAAACAAAAGTCGATTCGTCTCAAATTACGTCATCTATGCATTTATAAAGACTTCAAAATGTCAGCTCTTTTATGTCCCGTGGCGCTGGCGTCGCGTCATTTGTTTTTTTCTAGACACAGATAAAATACCACTGTGTATGGGTAAGGTTACAAAAAATGCAGACAGGTATTAAAAAACAAATCGTTTGTTATCTTTGACGTATTAAAACCTTTGCCATAGTTAATATATCCTTTTGTCTCGTGGCTTAGACAAGATGCAAGTAGATACAGACGTAATATTACTGCGTGAATGTTTTTTGTATGACTAAATTTTTTACTCACGGTTTGGTTAAGTAAGTATAACAAAAGTATAACCTAAGTATAACAAAACCTAAGTAAGGTTTTGTTATACTTACATCTGTTCATAGAAGTTTCTTTACAAAAAATGTACACGGAATCGGGAAGTAAGTAGGTCACTTTTAATATTAAATTAAAGACTTACAGACTGATGGACGAACGATAGTTTGGAATACTTAGCTGCTATTGTTTAGTTTAGTATAACCTTGATTCTATATTACTTATTTATTACTTACTAGCTTTTACCCGCGGCTTCGCTCGCGTCACAAAAGGATAAAAAGTAGCCTATGTGAAATATACAAATACACACAGCGCCATCTATACCAATAATTTCGTTTTCCCTCGAGAATATCAAATGTTTCCGGGATAAAAAGTATCCTATTATTTAATCCAGACTTCTAACTTCACGTCTGCAAAAATTCAAAGCAATCGGTTTAGTAGTTACAGCGCGAAAATGGAACAAAGAAACAAATAAACAAACTCACTTTCCGATTTATAATATTAGTAAGGACTAGCGACACGCCCCGGCTTCGCACGGATGCAATATGCATGTATAATACATATACGTTCCTTAAGAATCACTATTAAAAAAAACCGTATCGAAATCCGTTGCGTAGTTTTAAAGATCGAAGCATACATAGGGACAAACAGACGGCGAATAGCGACTTTGTTTTATACTATGTAGTGATTTAAACATCGTAAGACATAGGTACTAAATTAGTTTGACATTTTCATGTGAACTTTTCGAGTAAATCTCGACTAGTTTCAAGCCTTGGACTCATATTAAAGACACTGCGGCCCGAAACGAATAGAGCTGTTCTCGAAAACATCATGGAAGTAAGCTGTATATTTCAATGGATCCTAATTCATTTAATATAAATAATTTTGTTAACAATTCTATTTAGTTTATCTCGTTGAAAATCCCTTTTCTAGGTGATCTATAGATATAATACATACAGAATTATATACAAAGCTCCATTAACAAAGATTGTGTATAATGTATCAATTTGACGTCTATATTAGGTATGCCAGACGTCAATTTGGAGATGCCAGGCGGCCTAGCCGGATTGTATACATTCTCTGATTGCCTGCTTGCCTCGCAAACAAATAAATTGCGATTATTACGTAATTGGATATAAGGCTATTGGGTATTTTGTGTCGTGGTGGCTCGAAGGTTTAAGAGGCCCCCTTCTCATGCATGAGGGAGCCGATTCGAAACCTACCAACGGCAAGTACTAATGCGACTTTTTCCGAGTGATATGGACTTTCTAAGATTATCTAGACACCTCTGACAAACGGTGAAGGAAAACATCGTGAGGAAACCTGGGCTTATAATTTCTAATTATAAGTTTGACATCGCCAACTAGCATTGAGCAAGCGTGGCGATTAATGCTCAAATCGTCTCCGTGTGAGAAGAGGCTTTGCTCAACAGTGGGCATTTATAGGCTGTTGATGATGATGATTGGGTATTATGATTGTTCCACAAATTTTTGATCAAATTCTTACATTACAATACTTGGTTTTACTCGATAACGAGTTATTATCCTTATTATTTAGGTAATGCAGTTCAAAATACTAATTATATTTATCTGGTATCCTCCTCTAAATAAGGGGTTAGCGATAATTTTAAGGAAAATAAGCTTGTAATGATTTTATTAAGGCTACAACGATTTTGTAGTTAAATATTGATTTTGTGTATATTATTCGTAACTGAAATTAATAATTAGGTACAATCAATTGGTTTATACCTACTTATTAATAATGAAAAATTCTGGTTTTCTCTTTGATCAACTACTTGCTATTTAATCAAAAGCTTAATTAAAAAAAACATATTTAACTCGAGGAAAGAGCTGGACTAGTTTCGAGCCACGACGGGAGTTTATAATTATGGGGTTACATGCAGTTTGGTTTTGCATTAAAGAACTGAAGAATTAATCTGTATAAATTCATCTTCAGAGTTATTCATGTTACGATTTTATGAACATGTTGATATAATTACCTACCCCCATACAAGGATGTTGAAAAGAAGGCGAACGTTATGTCATTTAGAAATGATTGAAGCACCATAATATCAGTGGTATACTTGTAACTGTGCGTGAGTGCGTGTACTTGTAACTACGTAAATATGAAGTGTAATGACGGGCCATGTCACGAGACAGATGTCCTTCCGTGTCAATGTGTGTGTAAATCTAGCGTAGCCAGGTGCCACAA